TTTCATTGGAAGCTTGTCACGTGAGGATTATTTTCTTCTTATTTTATTAATTTTATTTATCTTTTTATTTACTATTTTTACCATTTTTCATTGCCTTGACATTTCACCATACTCAATATTAAACATCCATCATTTCCACTGCATTTCCATTTGCTACACCATCACACCATCAATCCGCATCCACCAGCATACACATATCCATTGCCGTGACATTTGTATATATCAAGACTAACTATACTTAGATAATTTAGTGTGCTTTGGTTAGACTTTCGTAATTTCACCCAATCCCTGTGGAGACGATACTCACTCATCATTATATTACTTGAGCGATTGTGTATACTTGCACATTATTTGCGTATATCTTATAGTACTCACAACACGTGAACAAATTCAAACCAAAGGAATCGTATTATGGACGAGAGAGAATGAAGGTTTGATAAGTGAAGGAAAGAGCGAATGAATTATTTTGACTGTAAAGAATATATATATATATATGAATAGTTTAATGAAGGTTTATGTTTTGATTGAAAGGAATAAGTCGAATAATAAAGTAGTGGGATAGTGAATGTATTAAAGTAAAAGGATATGTATGTTTGATGGAATCTAAGGATTGAAAGAAAGGTTAAAAAGGATAAAGAAGGAAAAGTATCAAGGATAAGAAAGGAATGTAAAAGCATAAGGAAATAGGGTAATGAAATAATTAAAGTAATGAAGTGAAGATTATGATAGCACGAAAGATTTATTGAAGAGGTAATATGTGAAAAGGAATATTAGACGTGTAAATAGTATTGTGTATAAGCAAGAGTGTGGATGTGATGAAGAGAATGAGATAAAGATTATTGTGTTTAAGGGAAGTTAAGGATTGATAGAGAAGAGTAAAGTAATATGAAAGAAGTGAGGAAGTATAAAAGAAAAGATATGACCAATGTTGTAAGGATATTTTGATTTATGGAAAGTAATGGAATAAGGAAATGATAAAGTTTACAGAATCAGATATGACAAGGGATATACAAGAGGTATAGATTATAAGTTTGATAAAGGAATAAGAAAAGTGTATAAAGTAATATGAAAAGATCATGTGTATTGTAGTGCAGACAATGATTCAGAACTGAGGAAAGGTTAGGTTTATGTTGCAAAGCAATTAGAAGAGAAGAAAAGAAATTAATTGAGTTATGATATCGAGAAGTAAGGATTGGATTTTTCTGTATATATAATGAGTAACAGTATATGGATTTATAAATGTTGGATATATGATTGATTAATTAGGGCTTGTGCCCTAGATTTAACCGTTGATATTTTCTAATTGTAATAGTAAAGGTGATAGAGTTATAAGATTGAAAGAAAAGATGAAGTGAGTTAATTAAGTATGATATGAATTTGAATATGATTTTGTATTTGGATCCTATATAAATATGATGAAGGCAAAGAAAAGAGTATTTACAAGTTTAAAGGGAGCTTTGAGGAAGGAAAATACAAGTGCAAGAGGTGGTGAAGAATAAGGTTTTGTATAAGTAAAGTTGATTATTAAAGTTATAAAAAAATGGAATAAAGAAATGAAATGATGAAGTTTAAAGGATCAGATGTGATAAAGGTTATATGGAAGTGTGAATGATAAGTTTGATATAGAATACGAAAAGTGTGCAAGGTGATGAAATAATGAAGTTTAAAGGATCATATGTGATAAAGGTTATATGGAAGTGTAAATGATAAGTTTGATATAGAATACGAAAAGTGTGCAAGGTGATGTGAAAAGACTGTTTGACTTCATAAAGTATATGTTTAATCACAATTGAAGAAGATTTAAAATTGTGTTTTGGTCAAATGATGACGTAATAAAAGTTTGGTATAGTTATAAGGTAATTAGAGTGTTATGAAGAAATAGATGGATTTATGTTATAGAGCGGTGAGATGATTGTTACTGTCTACGTGATAAGTGACATTATATGAAATTTTAGAAATATCAAAGGAAAAGGCAGATTGAAGGAAAGACAAGACGGTAATGGATTGAATTCTTTGGAAAATGGAAGGCAAATAATTGATTATAAATTGCGAAGAGATAAAGTTGTGAAAACAACTTAAGAATATTAAAAGATATGTTCTTGTCAAAGTGTGCAATGAAAAATTCGAGGACGAATTTTCTTAAAAAGAGGGGAGATTTGTAACATCCCAAATTATGGGTTAGTGACCAAATTGTAAATTTTAAAAATTTGGTGACAAAATTATAATTTATTAAAAAGTTCAATGATTTAAGTATGAATATTTCAGTATTGGATTAAATGGTAATTAGGGAATTATGGAAGGGATATAATGGTCTTTTTATGAAAAAGATATTTATCTCTTATTAAAGAGATAAGCATATGAGTGGGGAGTATCTAGAAGCTTATTTCCTCCTTCTTTTTCTTCTCCTTCTTCTCCCCGTAAGCTCCATGGAAAATGTAAGATTTCTTAGTTGTTGATTATTAGCTAAAATTTAAGTGGGGTTTTAATCATTAGGTGATACTTAAGCTTAGGGAAAACTTAAGTTATCTTAAAATCAAAAGATGAAGAGGTTATAAAAGATTAAAGAAAATGAGTTTTAAAGTGAATTTCTGAAAAAGAGTTAATAAATGAACGTTGAGATGGAATTTGACTTGTCATAGGTGTGAATAAGAAGTTATAAGTGTTAAATCAAAAGTTTAGATAACATGAAAAATTGGGTATGATTCTTAATTTTAAGAATCATGAAGAGATATGGAAAATAAAGATAGTTTATATGGATATAAGTGGTTTATGAAGTGATAGTTGAGTTTAATGACATGATAGGGGCTTAAAATAGAAGAATTGAGTGAATAGTTGATGATTTTTGGGCTTGAAATACAATTTATGGGTAAGGTGTATCGATGCACATTCAAAGTGCATGTGCATCGATGCACCCTTTAAAGAAGAAACATCGAATGCAATTAGTGAATCGATGCATAAGGCGTGCATCGATGCACTCCCTTGATACAAAAACATCGAATGTATTTTGTGCACCGATGCACAAGTAAGTGCATCGATGCATCGTTAAGGATGCATCGATACATGATGCATCGATACACTGTATAGTGCATCGATGCATACCTTTATTAAGAGTTCAAATTTGCTTTTCTCTTAGCCTAAGAAGTGATAGTTTAAGATATATCTAATGTAATTAGTATACTAATATGTATCAATGTATTGCTATGTAGATTTAGAGCGTAATACTGTTCCGGAACAATCGAAGGATTAAGATTGATTCAAAGCAAACATGGCTAAGGTGAGTGCAATTTAAATTGTACTTATAGAACGAACATTGGCTTGCGATGAGCCACTGACGGAGTTACTATTGTAAGAAGTAATTCTTAAAATGTTATTGTATGTGATATGTTTAACATGTTCTATGTGTTGTGTGATATATATATGTGCTTACATAAGAACATGAGAGATCAAATAAGCTATGTGATAAGGATATAGAGAGTGAAATAAATGACATGAAAATGCATGTATGTTTGATTATATGTGTGGATATGTTCTTGTAAATGTTATGTGGCTTATGTAAATAAATGGAAAGATGAATGTGATATATATGATATATGTGAAGCATATGATAACAAGAGATACTAGTAATATTTCATGCTATATGAACATAAGAAGTGCTACAAGTTAAATGACATATGAATATGAATCATATGAAAGTGACATGTACATGTGAATATGTGAAAGTGTGATAACATAAATAATAATGCCCATGTTATGTTATACGAGAGCTAGGGGTATAGTTTGCATGCCAAGAGTCGAGGGTTTACCTATGTTCTAAGGAACATATGGACAGTTTACCTAGGTTCTTCGGGACCTATGGACAGTTACTGAGGATCTTTATGACCTCTGGATAGTTACCGAGGATCTTTATGACCTCTGGATAGGTCCTTTGGGACATTTATATGAGCTGTGGTGACAGTATAGTGGTGCACAACCTCAATAGACTCACGTATCTACAGTTCTCACATATATACCATGGGCTAATAAAGAGATAATATTAAAAACTTGACATGATGATATATTTGTTTCCTTATGAAATGTTATGTGTGATATATGATTGTATAAGGGTAATTATAAGATCATACGATAAAAGGAATCAATGATAGTGATAAGAGATATGAATAATAATGATATATATATGTGTGTATGTATGTATTTGTTACATGTAAAAGTATATGAATTGTATGGAATGATAGTAGTAATTGTTTATGTATGATTATTAGATAATGTTTACATTATAAGTTTATTGTCTCACTAAGTCATAGACTTAGCGTGTGAGTGTTTCACACGCAGGTTCTTACAAGCTTATGGATAGTTGGGGTGCAAGACATGTCAGTTCTCCTTACTGAAGGTCAGGTCAGAAAAAAAAATGAACAATATGTATGTTAGTATATATATAAGTTCATGTTGGCATGTATTCAAAAAAAATATGTTGTATAATCTCGGAATAATTTTGTACACGCTTTGAATAAGTTATATGTAAATGAATAAGTGAATTATGCACGCTCTGATCGGTTTTGAAATAATGAAAATGTATTTTATGTAAATTGATCAATTATATGTTATAAAAGTTTTTAAAGCACTCACAATTTTATGCAAGTAAATGATTCGATATGTTAGTGTGACATCTCGAATTTGTATCTGGATCGGGTACGAGTTGAGGATGTTACAAAAATAAAGAGGGAAATTATGATTTTTGGGGAAATTCGCCAAATATTTATATCTATTTATATCTAGTTAACAAATCAATAAAGAATTTAATGATTACGAGAGTCGATTTCACTCTCGATTGAAATAATGATAATATTATTTTACCAAAAAAAAAAAAGAAATAATGATAATATTAAAAATATATGCCTATTCTAAGTAAAATTTAACGCATGTTTTAAGATATATTTCTTTTAAAAATTCCCTTTTATGAAATAAGAAAATCAATTAAACAAATAAGACAAACCTCTTGTATCCACAAACGAATCTCTCAACTCTTAAAGGTACATTCCAAACCTAGATCAAGTAATGTACTTTATGTACATTAACTCACTGCTGATGTTAATCAATTGCCACATCAGCTTTAGCTAACCAATAGCTGTTCGCCATGTGTACAGAAGCCAACTTGATACTTGATTTCCACTACAGGCCCCATCTCTAACCCAGCTTGAACCACAGACGGAGCTGATGAAGCCGTCTTTCTCCTCCTTTTCGGTGAGGCATTTCCCGATCCGGAAGACGAAGAAGGCTCTGACGACGCCCTCTTCGACGTTATTCGGACCGGACCAGGCTCCCCTGAATTCACCCTCCACGGAAAATTCAACAAAGCTTTGGATCCACGCATCCTATAAGCCGCTTTATCATAAGCCAAAGCCGCATCCTCAACCGTCTCGAAAGTACCTAACCAAACCCGAGCCCCATTTTTAGCCGGATCCCTAATCTCAGCCGCGAATTTCCCCCACGGCCTTTGCCTGACGCCTCTGTAATGCTTCCCTTTCGAAGGAACCACCGTGGGACTCGTCGTATCCGCCGCCGTATCCACCTTCTTCTCCGATGTGATCTCCGTTGAAAACTCTTGAGGTTCCGGTTTAATCGGCGCAAAATTCGTTGAAGAGTTGTCGGACGGAGCCCAGCCGACGGCCAGAGCATCTCGTAAAAGTCCAAAAAGGAGCATATCTTCGGAATCGTCCTCTCTGAGAGGAAGATCACCCCAGGTTTCAGTGAAACAAGGGTACAGACGGCTAAAGCTTGAGCTCCGGCAAAACATGGGAGGAACGGCGGGAAAATCGGTGGAAGCAGTGAGTCGAAGGTCGGATGACTCGCTGAGTAAGTAGTCCCGAACTGAATCTAGCACGGCAAGATCGGAATTATTTGAACTTGAATGCATCTGTAACATCTCCATATCCGAACAAAACAGTTAGCTTCTTTTTCTTTTCAAAATTTTTAATTTTTCAAGGCAAGGGAAAGTGGGTTTATATAAGGAAGTTGGATGCGTGAACTGAAATGAAGGGTAAAGTACATCAGAGATCACTTAACTATTTTCAAATTATTATTTTAACTACTAACAGTTCAAAAGTTATAAAATTATCATTAAAGTTATCAAATAATTATACAATTATCATTAAATTTATCAAACTATTATAAATATTCATTAAATTTATTAAAATATTACAAAATTTTCATTAAATTTTATCAAAATTTTATAAAATAATCATTATTTTTTCAAAATTTATAATTATTATAACATTGTAATTAGTGGTGATCATGAGTTTGCTCAAGCTTTTTGCCCACTCAAACCTGATCTAAATATTACACTCTTCTATCAGACCCGACCTGACTCAAGTTGACTTTAAGAAAATTCCATCCATTCTAAGACTCGACTTGATTTTTAGGATAAAAACTCACACTCACACTCGACCCGATTCGATATAGATATATATACTTTTCATTTTTATTTGATATAATAAGGAGTAATTGAAATAAATATAAATAAAAGTGTATTATTATAATTATCTTTAAATATATAAGAGATAATTATAATACTATATTGAGTCGAGTTGATTTTTTTCATCCTAAATCCGACCTAATCATATCCTTCAAAGAACTTGACATAAACCATTTTGTTAAGAAAAAAGAAACTAACCTAATTAGGTTGGATTGGATCAAAACCCACCAAATCTGAGTCAAATTTAATGATTAATTTATAATTTTTAAATGTTCAACGACCAAATTGATTATTTGAAATAATTTAATGACCTTTTGGTGTGCTTTACCCAAAAAACTTTATGGCATGAATTTCATTGAAGGTTCGTTTAAGACACGTGAAGAATGTTTTTGGATGGTGTCGGGTACCTCCAATTTCATATGGGGTGACGTCATCCGGTTGAAGCAGCATCATGTTGCTTTGCCTATTGGCAATTTGGCATGCCTTAGTGCCCACTTGTCCTAATTTTTATTCCTTTTCTTGGTAAGTCGTTTTCTTTTATTTTTTAATTTAAATTTCTTTTCATATTTTCCTAATTTTTGGCTCTAGACATCTTCTAGAACAAATATTTATTTTTTTTAAAAAAATATTAACAACAAACTTTTGCATAAGTTTTGACATAAAGTCGAGGACCCATTAAATAGAACGCCAATAGATTAATTGGTGTGCGTCTCTTTGTGGATCTCGATATAATATTATAATAAATAAAAAATCAATTTTAAATTAATTTGAGAGCTAAATTATTTTAAGATAAAATATACAAATAGTCTTTTGATTATAGGGTTTTATTAAAATAGTCCATAATTATAAGGTGTTATTTTGTTGAAGTCTTCGATTATTAAAAGTTACAAAATGGTTACCCGATTATTTACTATGTTCCAAACTTGTCCTTTTCCGTTAAAAAGTTGACGACAGTCTAAATTGGACATTAACATGCTGACTGAGATATGATACAATTTGATCTCATAATCTCAAATAACTATCATATCTCAATCAGCAGGTTAATGTCCAACTCAGACAACCGTTAATTTTTTAACGGAAAATGATGAGTTTGGAACATAATGAATAGTCATGTGACAATTTTATAACTTTTAATAGCCGATAGACTCAACAAATCAACTCTCTATAGTGGGAAGACCATTTGTGTACTTTACCCTCAATATTATTCTCAAATTTTCATATAATTTTTAGGGTAAATTACATAAATGATCGTTTATGTTCGAGTAAATTTTTATTTTTTCACTTAAGTTTTAAAAGTAACAAATTGATCACTAATGTTATATATTTGTAATAAAATGGTCACTCCACCATCATCCCGTTAAATTGATGACATGACAACGTTAACAAAAATATTAATATTTAGTTTTACTCCTAAACTACTATTATAACATCAAATAAGTCGTTAAACAATATTTGTATATCTAATTTACTCAAAAAAATTCTAATTTTTATTTTTTTAAATACATCACCGCTTTCACTGTATTCACAAATTAATATTTAAATTAAAAGCGCTTACGTAAGCCTATCATCTGTCAGCCATTGTTACAATTTGTCCATTTAAAAGCTCTTGCACAACCCTTACAACATAAGACATATAATGGGACCAAGTTTTGGCTTTTTTTAAATACATCACCGCTTTCACTGTATTCACAAATTAATATTTAAATTAAAAGCTCTTACGTAAGCCTATCATCTGTCAGCCATTGTTACAATTTGTCATTTAAAAGCTCTTGCACAACCATTACAACATAAGACATATAATGGGACCAAGTTTTGGCAGTTTAGCCATTACAGCATCCAAAAAAAATGATTTTGATGTATTAGAGTTAGAATCCCATATTACTTCAAGAAACTCAGAAAAAACAATGTTCCCTGTAACCCCAATTATTAATTCATGAATATATATAGCGGTGGCAGTGAGGTGTTCGAAGAAAACTATAAATTAGAAAGTTTTTTTAGGTAAATTAGGTATAAATTCATTATTTAAGGACCTATTTGATATTTTAATAGTAGTTTAAAAGTAAAACTAAATATTAACTTTTTTGTTAGGATTGTCACGTCATTAATTAAATAGGGATGATGACGAAATGATCATTTTTTTACAAATAAATAATGTTATTGATTAATTTATTACTTTTGAAATTTTAATTTTTTTTTGCTTATACTATTATTATATATTGATAAATTTTGCTTCATTAAAATGCAACACGATATTATAGTTTGGTAATTTCCTATTTTTACATGTTGTGAATCAAACGCACTATTATTATATATTTATCTTAAATTTATGATAATAACTATTTTTTAAGCACATATTTATAATAAAATTCTTATATTACCCGTAAATTCTTTATTCATAAATAAAAAATATTATATATATATATATATATATTCTAACTCATATATAATATATTAATAATAATATCAATCGAATTAAACTCAATAAAATGAAGTAAACTAATTTTATGATAAGAAAATGAGGAAAAGATTGGTCAATTATACGACTTTGACCGAAGAAAAGTCTGATTTTCTATTGATGTAGACCGCAGTGAAATTGGCCACACCGTGCCCAGCACGTGTGCGTTTCGACAGCAGCTTTGAGTCTTCAAATATTGTCTCAAAAGTCAAAGGTAAAAATATACTTGAAACCCTCTATTTTTTTTAAAAAGAAATTAATGTAGTTATCATACTATGTTTTACTCAGTGAGACTCTTCAACTTAAAAATAAATCTAATGTAGTTCTTTGACCAACGATTTTTATCGTTGATATTATAATGTTGATGTGACAGTTCATGATGACTGACAACATGACATATAACATGACAGATAGGTTAAATTAGTTTTTGGGTCTTGTTGGAGGGCCAAATTGACTCTTTTAGAATGTGTAAGGGTTTATTTAATTTTTTAAAATATAAATTATTTTAAATTGTAAATATAAAAATATTCAAAAAAAATAAATATAAAAATACTAAAAGTAAAAGTTAAAATTACTAAAACAATTAAGTATATATATTAAAAATATTAAAACTACTATTAAAAAACTAAGAGTTAATTATATCATATGTCCCCAAATTATAATCATTTTAAATTGGTCCTTAAACTTTTGAATATTCCAATTTCATCCAAACTATGACTCTCATTCTAAATTAGTCCTTAAACTTTTGAACATTTCAATTTCATCCCTAAACTATGACCCTCTTTCTAAATTAGTCCCCAATCTTTTTGAACATCCCAATTTCATCCCCAAATCCATCCAAATGTGTAATTAGTTTCAACCATAACTTAACCTAAATTTTGTTTTTTTCAAACATATAATAATATAACTTGACCTAACATTTTATTAACAAAGAATGTGATTAATATATATTATACTTTGGGATGAAATTGGTGTAACACCCCAATTTAGGGGCTAAAATTAAGAAATTATAAAGTGGCGGATTTAATTGATATTTTGAAAGAAACATTGGGGATTAAATTGTAAAGTTTTAAAGTTGGCAGACCGTTTTATAAAGTGCAGGAAATTCAGTGGCTAAACCTATGATTTAACCATTTCTTATATATGATGAATTATAAGCTCCTCCCCATGCGCAGGTTTCATATTTTCCAGATTTCCCTTCTCCAACAACCAACTTCCAACCGATCTACTCGCCGTCCGACCTCCAAACGACGAGCCGAAACCACCATCGTGTTCGTTGTTAATCGAGGAACAAAACCCCTCAAACCTTTCATCGTGAATCATCGCCGTTTGTCATGAATTTCAGTCGGAGGTATCGTCGGTAATAACTCGGTTTTAGTAGATTTTTCATCGATTCACGACGATCGGGTCATCTGTTTACGACACCTCCTGCACCATCGTGTTCGTTGCATCGTTCCGAGTTTGCCGGTGTCATCCTTGGTCTCTGTCGACGGCGGCGCGCGTGAGGAGGTGAAGCGGTCAAAGTTTCTGATTTGTTGAAATCGAGCTCTCCGCCGTTCAAAATTGTGAACCGAACTTTGTAAGTATCTCGAAATCGCTCAAAATAATTTTTAGAAATTTTTCTGGGATTTTAGCACTGTTCACGCGCCGCCACTACGCGTGGGGAAGAAAAAAAATGACCGGTTTGATCGGTTTTGGTGCATAGTTGACCGGTCACAACCCGACCCGACCCGTTTACCCGACCCGTTGACCCGACCCGACCCGTTGACCCATTGACCGTCGTTGACCACTGTTGACCAAAACTTTGACTGGCTTTGACCGGGTATTAAACGACCTTTGACTTCGACCGAGTATACCTATCCTGACATTTTTCGACGTTCCAAATCTGATTCCGCTGTTCTTTTTTCGAAATTCGAACCTGAAGGCCTTGAAATTACCGATCAAACCCGTTGACTTTGATTTTGACCAAAAATTCCAAATTTCTGAAAAGTCACATTTTATGCTTTCGACGTCCTGAATCCGAAGTCC